AGTGAATGTAAATGCTCCTTTTTGTTTTACAGACTGTACTATTGTTTAGCTAGCCAAACGGCGAACTGCAATAGAATTTGCTGCTTTGCCAAATTTGACGGAAACAATAATAAACAAGTTGGTGAAATATTTTTTTTTTTGCTATATGGGCATGTGTAGTGTTTTGAAATAGAAAAAAATCCGGCAACATTGCGAAATGATGGATGTAGAAAGACGTGATTATTCAGAGGCATGATTCTATTGGTTAGAGCCTGAACGACAGCACCAGTGGCATGGTAATTGGCAAAACTAAAGATTTTTTTATTTAATAATTTTATTGGTTTATTTCTTGGTGGTTTCGGTGCCACTGAACCCAAAGACATGGCTGTCATCAGGCGGTGTCAGTGAATATTCTCAGGTTACGCCCCACTTTTCTTCCCCCTTTGGTCTCTACCAAGTTACCACTTGCCAGACTATAGACTGTTTGACTCTTGACTTGACTAAAAAAAAGCAAAAGGACGAAGAGACTCGACTTCCAGACGCGACACTTCTGGCTTTTTTGTTAGTCTTTCTGTATTCTGGGTGTATCTTTTTTTCTTTGTTATATGAGTTCTTTTCTCTTCTCCAGCATTTGGTTTGTTTCTTTGCTAAATTTTTCTGGCCTATCTGTTTCATAATATTTTTTGCCGTTTCTATTATTGTTTTCGTTATTCTTTCATTAATTTGATTTATGTCTTGGTGCGGTTTTATAAGGCCTTTCTCCAGTTTTTGCGAACCAATGATGAGGAAAAAAGTGTCTTTGAAATATATCAGTACTAAAATTCCCTAAACTAATTCCGTTTTCCTATTTTCTAGTTCAAATAAATTCACTTTCGTCTATAGGGATATTAATATCTTTTCTCTTCCTCTCCAATTACCTTTCTACGCGAAAGGCTTTCAAAAGCAAAATCCAATAATAAATAATTGTGAAAAATCGATTTAAGTTTTCTTATGACTTCTTTTTTGTTAGTTAATTCGCAGCTATAGACTTATATTTTCCATAAATGAATAGAAAATTATCATTCCATCTATTAAAATATCATCATATACAATTAGCCGGTCAATTAGCATAAATACAGGATATTGCGAAGTGACAATCGGGAGTGTCATGTACCGCTAATGGATATTTATGTTCTTTTTTTTTATGTGCTGCTTATTATTGATGATTATGTCAAAATATTTATTATAGGTATATTGCTTAATTTGTTAGATTTTTTATGAATGAATATTATAAAGCGTTATTTATTTGTAAATTATTTTAATTTTGTGACCTTGAAAGCACAAAGGACTTTGTACTACCTCCCATAAGAATGGAAAAGAGTTTTTCTATTCCCGATTAAGATATTAAAAACTGAAAATAAATACAATTTTAAATCAGAGAATAAGCTGTTGAGAACATTCCTGACTTTTTACGTTAAAAATTATTCAACCATTATACTGGCACCTGGGGCGCCACATGCTTCCCAGATTTATTTTGTTATTTTTCTTACAGATTGTGGGAATTTCTCACACAAAGAGTTCTTCTAAGAGTTCTTCTTTAGAGGACTGTGTTAAACTTTTCTAAAATCAAATCTGAATAACAGAAACGACGTAATTTCACTATTTACACTGATCCAAGATGACTGGGAGTCAGGGCTTGGGTGGATACCTCGAAGGCAGTGCCAGAATACTTTTATTACACTGTTTAACAGGTTAATAGATTGTTGGATCGTGTTTCCAACAGCAATCATCAACTTGAGTTGGCTTCAGGTCAAAATCTTTTGGTGCCATTAGTTATATTTCTCCCATACTAAAATGCGTGAAACAAAAAAGGGAAAAGCGATTTGTTTGCATTTCCCTAGGCCAAATTTCCAGCTGCCGGATTCTATTTTACGAGTCGAGTCAAAATTCGTATCGAATTGTCAAAATAGCGATTCTATTCTACGATGTTTCGATATGTATTACACGGTACGTCCGGAGCTGTCGTATTCGATATCGAGTGTCATAACAGACAATTCGACTCGACTCGTAAAATAAAATCCGGCAGATGCTGGCTTGGATTCTTTTTCATGAAGCGCCATCTGATATCGAATTTTGGGCATTATCAAGATGACTTATACGTTATTGACCTGTGCTCTGAAGAAGCCAGTGTTGAAGTCCTGAGATTTCTCAACCAGAAAAGTCTTCCCCTCCCAAGATATTGCTTTCTTAAAACTTTGCCCTGGACTATTAACATGGTAGTAAAAATAACTCATTGGGTCATATGCATAAAACACGATCATAATATGCTTTTGCTTAAGTTTTTTGAGATAAACATATCATAGCTTTAATGCAGCAAAAAGAGACGGAGGTAGAGTAAAAGCATTTGCTACACTTTATTCATATGACTGAAAGTCTTAGGAATTTCGGTTTCCAGAACGCCATCATTGATAACCATGTTCATTCAATGATATAGGCACAGTTCAAATGCTTCAAAGCCTTTTCCATGATGCTTCAGTGAGTGTCGTACCACAAACCTAATTAGACGATTTAATACCGTCTTCGTCGGATAGTCTCAAAGTTTCGGCCGCATATTTTCTGGATCTAAAGCCAGCTTTTCCATCCTTTCAGAGAGCGTGTAGTAATTCATTTTAGGATCAAGAAACTTCGGGTCAAAATTTCCATTGAGGTGTAAGTCCCAAAAAATGCAATATGGATATGCATATTCAAACACTCATACTTTTACTTTGGAATCTCTTCAGCCCTCTGCCATTCTACTTCTCCTTTGCTTCTTATACTTTTCTTCACCAACTTAATAAATCTCAACCCATGATCACCTTTCTGTTCTCCTATCTTACATTGACTTGAATCCACCTAGCGGATTTCACTAATGCTCATTATATGCGTCTTAAGCCGCTTTATTTCGTGTTAAAACAATCAAATTAAATATTTATAATTGTGCCACGTGATTGCTCCATTTTTTCACTTTCAGACAATTATTGGAAAATTGAATTCATTATTTAAATTCTACATGGATCTATATCATCAAGGTCCATCGACCTCACTTTTTGTTTCATCGTTACGTCTTGTAACTAATTAAAACATAAGAAAGATAATAATTATTTTCCTATATTGTTACACATTCATTTAATTATAAAGGTACGTGATTTTCAGGAATTTGAGTTCATTGTTGAAAATAGTGTTAATTATTATTGTTATTTTGCATTGTTATCTTAATAATAACTATATTGTTGTTACATGAAAATCCTGAAAAATACCTAACAGTATTAGTATTGCCGCGAATTAGGCATTCCAAATCACGTGACTTTTGACATACAAAATGGCCGGTCATTGGCACACAAACCCATTGAACTATAGGGAACAGATGAAATTTTAATTTAATTTAGCCCTATTTACCTGCAAAATTTACCTGTGGAGGTTTAATTATCGGGTTTAATCATAAAATTATTACCTGGGAAATTTACCTTGTGAAGTAGGGAAAAGTAATTAAATAGGTGTCAACGGAACTGATAAGGCTTGGATTGATTTTTTGTCTCGCGCTACATAGAAATTATTATTTTCCAAAAATGGCAAGTTCAGTACGGTTACATTCAAAGTAGATATTTATAGGCTGTTCATTTGTACTTGCTCTACCTGCTCGAAGAATCAGGAAGATCTGCTAGGACCTCCTATTTATGAGCCTATAATGATGGGACAAGTGTATGCCGATCTGTTCTTGAGATCTGCTTGAAGCAAGAAAAGCAGTAAGCAGTACAAATGAAATGAAAACCCTATTAGTTGAACGTGAAGCAACTTGCAAAGAAACTGCAAACCGGTCGGTATATGGAGAAAACAAAATTTCATAGCACTAATCCATTTTTGTCTTCTTTGGCCAAATAATTCATTTAAAATGCGTAGCATGTTCGAAATTGAAATTATCACAAAATCCTGGAACTCCAAATAAAGAAAATACAGAAAAATATTGTTCTCAAATACACATTAAACACATTTAACGACGTGTTTACCTATATTTGTGTGCCAATGACCGGCCATTTTAGACTTCTTTGACAGGAGGTTGGAATGCCTAATTCCGGGTCCAGTAAAACTCACTTCACAAACAGTAACAATTAACATTCATTGAATAAAATGAAAAATTCTCTTATCAAAACGTATACAACAAATCTCATATTTAACCTGACAACTTCGCGCAATTTATAGACGACATCGTATTCTGGATTTATTTAGAAGAATTTGTTGTTTCGAAAATGTATAGTAGAATTCATAGACTTTACGCGCTTTAGACGCAAATGGATTCTTAGAATATTACCGGGCTGTCGATGCAATGTCGTTATAGTATTTTCAAAACAGTGAGTTTTGATGCATTTATTTATCCTCATTATTTATTAAGTCAATTTTGAGTCATTATCAATTGTCCCAATATATTACCATTGACCACCCCGCCCCTGCAACATTAAATCAACCTTCCTCTTCCTCTAATAAGAGTATATTATACCTAGGAACTAAAGTGGATATTTTAATTCCCCAATGAAGTTTACTGAGGGATTAATAATAGATACTTTAGCCCCAAGGTATTTTACTCAAGTTATATGCCATACCTAATTTGTGATTTTCCATTTATCATAAATCAATTTCAATATCTATTGAAAGACTGTATCTATTATTTAGATTTTACGTACATCTATCATCAAGGTCTATCGATTAATTTTTAAATTGCATAGGTAATCCAAACTCAGAAACAATTGAAACTTTAACAAAATAATAACTCATTTTCTATATCATCAACACATTTAATATTAACAGGTTTATGAAATAAAATAGCAATATAAAATTAAGCCTTAAGCCATTAACTTGGTCGTTTTTAAATTATTGAATTTATTAACCTTATAGTTCTTTTTTTTTCCACATCCATTATAAAACAACTTGTAACCAGGGCTATTATAAAAATATTAAAGTCAAGCAAAAATATATCTCAAGGTCCACTAAACTGTTCTTTCTTGTTACAGGCTTCTTTCGGAGAAAATGATCTCGAGCAGAACGCACGTCAACGCTTTTCATGAGTTGTGACCAATGGGCCAGCAAAAAACCCACCGTTATTTAAATGTTAGACCACCAGGACGTAAAAAGACGTTTCATCACTGAAACCGTACAGAAAATGAGCAAAAAATAATAACTACAGTTTAATTTTAAGGTGTGCACTGGTTCATGAATACTTTAGAAATATTTAAAAACATTTTTATTTTGTAGATAGACCATTGACCAATCAAAATGTACAACAATCGAAAATCTTTTATTGTCAAATCACTAATTATCTTGTGCCTCATATACTTTGCTGTCCACGTGATATACAGTAATGGGAATATTATTACCGAGCTGCAACTCTCTGGCAGAAGTTTAGCAAGTTTGGATACACAAAACATTGAGACAGCACCACTCATACAAGAAGGTAAGTCGTTAGTGTTAGATTTAAAATTTTTCCAAATTTGATAAGTTCCTATCAAATCCATGAAAACGCCAATATGTTTAGTTGAGCTATTGCATACAGATGCACGCCAAACTTATTCTTTATATTTATTTCCAAGAAGGAATCGATGAAACTAATGGTAAAAAAAATTGAATCTTTATCCTTTACGTGCTGATAGAAAGAGATTCAATGTAAAAGTTGTCCTAAACAACTAAGTTGGTTTGGAATAAGCATCATCACCAGAGGGGAACATTCCGAAATTAATTTGCTTTGGATAAATGATATTTCTCTAATAATAATAAGTAAATGCAGTGTATAGATGAAAATGTATTTGAAGAACGCCTGAAAAATGAGATATTTGTGGGTATATGAAGAAGTTATTTTTAGTGGAAGCTGCTCTAGGTACTAATTATCTATGGCATTTCCTGATGGACCAGATTTGTTGAGATCTTTGGGTGAAATATAATGGTGATTCAGACTATTTCAAAAAGATTCCAGATGACATGAGAGATACTTTCCATCAGGTGTAAAGAAGGCAGATGCGTCCAGAGATTATTATGGAGCAGTTGAGTTAATCGGAAACCTGATATATAAAAAAAACGTTCGAAGGAGTTGACCAGTTTGTGCACAAGAAACCTGAATGCCGAAACAAGATGTATAAAAAGATCAATAAATGTATTATAGAAAAGCAATGACTGAAAGTTTATACTTCAATTATTACCCTTATTTATGTAGGTTATGAAGAAGGTGAAGCCTTGAAGAGAGGGTTGGAATTTATCATGTAGAAATCAAGAAAAGTTCCGAAGTAGTAAACTGGCCGAAAGACTAATTCTTCTTACATAGATAAGCAGTCGACTATTTTCAGATATATCTATTGAGCAATGCGGAAAATAATATGAATAATACGGATCAATTAAAAATTTTAGGAATGTGTTGTAATAAGTGACGCTCAGGAAAATTTACTGATTTTTCATTATTTTTATTCTTTCTGGTTCGCAGAAGATGTACTTCAGAGAGAAAGTCCATTCTCGACGTCGGCACTTACGGATGGCAGCTGTGTTTCGGCCTGAAATTTACAAAATCGGCAGATAATATGTAACTTTTCCTCCTTACTACTTATATAAGAAATATGCCATTCTAGTATTTAGTCGTCTTTATTCTAGCGAAAGCAGACTTGTCTATCTAATATAATACAGGGTGTTTCACGAACATCGAAACAGAGGCGTTTTGGGGTAGGTATTTTAAGGTCGATTTAAAAAAAAAAAAAAACGTTCGTACACGTCAATTTTGTATTTAAGGGGGAAACTTTTTAAACCCATCGGTATTTCGGTAGGGTGCAACCTCTGGGTGGGGTGACTTTCACCCCTCTTTTTTAGATAGGAAAGACAGGTTGAGTGGTACCGTGTTTTGAAGGAATTTTGATTCTCGTCACAACTGCCTATTTTTTTCGGAAATCGAAAAATTAGTTCTCAAGATATTCAGTGTCAAAGTTATCATGGGCTGAATAAGAAACAACACACTTTCCTGACTTTCCTCTCGGACACGTCAATTTTCATTTTTTCAGAAGCACACAAAAAAATGTGTCGAGAATCAAAATACCTCTAAAACAAGGTACTACTCGACCCATCTACCCTATCTGAGAAAGAGAGATGAAAGTCACCCCACCGCGCCGGTGGGGTCAAAAAGTTTTCCCCTTGAATACAAAATTGACGTGTTCGAGCGTTGTTTTTAAATCGACCCTAAAATACCCTAAAACGCATCTGTTTCGATGTTCGTGAAACACCTTGTATATTGATCAGTTTACGTTCTTTTCGCCTTTTAATTTCCATTTTCCTAGCTCTCGATCCACTCAGAGGTTTCTGTCTATTTTTCTTGCTCTGATAACGCGAACAATTACTTCTCTGGCAGCTCCTCCTTTTTTGGTAATTTGCCAAGACCATAGGAAAACATTTCACATCTTCCTTCACACTTTAAGTAAAGGACAATAATTCCATTGTAGCGTCATCCAAGGAAAAAGCAGGTCTCTTTGCGAAACAATTTGCATTCCACTCCAAGCCACAGGTATTGTCACACATTAGTTCTTATATGGACACGTTGTATTTGGACAAAAAACTATTGGGAAAATTCTAACGGAAACTTGACACTAGGAAATCGACAGCTTTCCACCAATAATTGTCCTCAAAACTTGCGAACAAGAATTGGCTTCAGCTCTTTGCCAACCGTTTTCACTCTCTTACAGTCGGGGCGTTTTCCCGTCTATCTGGAAATGTACAGAGTGCAGCCCAAAAAAGGCAAGAAAACTCTTCCTAGCAATTATCGTCCCATCTAAGTAATGGAAAAGACAGTTAACCTGACACGGGTTTTGTTCTAAAAGTCATATCTGGAACTCGACTCTCGGAAAACATAGCGTATCCAGAATTGTAGCATTAGACATCTTCAAGGCTTTTGAACAGATTCATTTAATCAACTGATTTTAATACCATTACCAACTGATGCCTATCAGGCAGACCTGGAGAACAATTTGCGGGCCGTAAAAACGACGATGAGAAACACGGTAGATTTGGACCTAGCAGCGGAACAACTGCAGACCCCTGTTACATCCGCCTACATGAACAACTGTCCTGCAATCACGACTAATTCCAACAGGAATGTGCCCTGGTGGAACAACGACCTCGGAAAATAAAGGAAGAAAACAAGGAGACTTTTCAACAAAGCGAACCGAATAGGAAAGTGGAGCGAGTGCCGTAAAGCTCTGACTGAATATAAAAAATGCCTCAGAGCATCCAAGAAGGAATCATGGGGAAGACACTATGAGGAGGTCGAACAGACTCCTCAATGTGCCAGGCTCTATAAAATCCTTTCCAAGGACACTCCAGGAACGATTGGCTCTCTAAGAACATCAAATGGAAACTATACTCAGACCGGACAGGAAACTATGGAAGAGCTTTACAGAGTACACTTCCCGGGCAGTGTGATCCTTGAAGGAAACCCCGAAAACCGTCACTATGTAGACCTAGCCACAACCAGATAAGGCACAAAAAAAAGTAGTACCATGGCGTAGGCTAAAATGGGCCATTGACTCATTTGAGCCATATAAATAGCCAGGATCAGATGGGATTTATCCAATATTATTACAAAAAGGCAGAAGCATGCTATACTCCAGGCTCCTGATTATATTTAGAGCAAAGTAGAGATAGTAAGGTCGTTCACTAACACACCGCGCACCCGTGCAACCATCTGCCAGTTGATAGTAAGTTCATTCACCATCACACCACAACATATCTGCTAGAGGACTTGCAAGGCCATCCTATAAGTGAGGGTTTTTATGAAGAATAATTGCAGAAAACAAAACCACCTGATGTATTTCTCATTGAACAAGTATTACGAAAGAAAGGAAATAAGGTTTTTGTGGAATGGTTGGGATTTGATAAATCTCATAACAGTTGGATCGATAAAACCAAAGATGTAGTTTGAAACTAGATTTCTTAGATTGCCTGGTTCATTTGCAATCATGAGCTTGCACTGTAAAGTTTGTGATGAAGTCATTTCTACCCATTCACATTACCTAAGTAATAAACATAAAAGTAATTGCTGTACGGAGTGTGAATCCAATGTTCAGATTATCAATTCGGCTTTCTGACCAGTGTAGGACTTTATTTAGAAAAACTGAAACCGAAAGTAGTGGATTTATTAGGAGAAAATTTTCTACTAGCTCTAGTATAAAAATAAACATGAAATTATATGGACTTTATATTTTAAGGGAAATGCAAAAAATAAAATTATAAAATTCCCGTTTTTCTACTTTTTTTCCCATAACGGATCTCTATAAATTATTTGACGATTTTAAGCAAGTTTTAGTTGCCAAAGCTGCCGAGTTCCAGGAAAAAGATAGCGGGTGGTCTTTGGTAAAACTTCTATTTCTGGAGGTAAACATAAACAAGTTTAAACCAATGAAATGGCGGGGGTAATACCTATAAACGCAATTTCTCAATTCTTGTATCACAGTTCCATGCTAGCAGACACCATGTTGACAACAGCTGAAAATTCAATCAACAGTAGCGACAAGGACGGTTGCTCAACTTGCCCCTCACCTTATTCGGAGTATTTTGATAGTATGGTTTCGAGAAGCAATTAAGAAAGAAACTAAATTTTTGGGAGAGACTTGCTATTTGATGAAGAAGTTCAAAGTTGTTGCAGGATTATTGCTAGAGGACTAATACCCAGTATAAGAGTTTCCAGTACAATTTTGAACCTACCTGAAGAACAAGTGACTGTATCGTTTAGTGATATTGAATCGACTGAATTCCTGAAAATTGTCACTTCCTTCATGGACTTATCTACTGACCATGATGGCGAACTTCGTGGTGTGATAACAGTTGGTTCATTATCGGAAAACTTCACTGTTCCAAAAGTTATATTTTTGGACGAGAGAGTGATCAAGTTAACGAGCAGAGAAATTAATTTATGTTTTTGTATGGATGATATCAAACACCTTTTAAAAATCCAAGTCATAATAGATTAGAGGTTAAGTTTACTCGCAGAACTAGATTTTAGAACTTTTTATGACAATCTTTTGAAATATTATAATGGCCGAGTTCGTTTTTGTCATCTTTTTCGTCGATTTGCTCTGAAGTTTTGACAGGCACGTGACTTAATAAGACAATTTCAAGTTACAAATCACGTGTCTGTCAAAATTTCGGAGGAAATCGACGAAAAAGATGACAAAAACGAACTCGGCCAATGTAGAAACTGTCAATGAGGATAATTTCCTGAATGTGGTTGAAGAATACTATGAATTATCATGTTAGAGTTTATATACGTTAACCCAGAAAAAATAATAACAGATTTCAATAATGTGACGCTGTTTTAGATTAGAGAGTAAAAACGGAGCGTGAAAAAAGTTTGAAGTCAGCTTTCGATCAGGCTAGAGCGTTAACTATAGCCTTATCGGGAGCTTGGTACCATTTCAACTTTTGTTGACTTTGGTGTGATTCGAACACACAACCTTCTGATCTGGAGTCAGATGCGCTACCATTACACCACCCCCACAAGAAGAGAATAGGTTTAAGCAGCTGAAGTCCTCACTTTAGGACGGTCAGATGAAAATTGAAAGTTTGATAAGTAAAAATCAATCTATCGGAAATGATATCAAAGCAAAATTGGTTGTGAGAATAACTGCCTCAGAAAATCAACATAAGCAATTCAATGTAACGCCAAGTTATATAAGTATCGGCGACAGGAGAATAGTTAGATCTTCAAACGCTATAAACGATACCGACGTAATAACCAAAAGTCTGGTAATCAAAATGATTGCTGAAAAGGTGAAGCAGTCTGAAAAACCGGCGCCAGCAACAGCAGTAGCGGTAGCAAAAAAGCCAAAAGGAAAGGGAACCTGAACATCCGTATATTCTATAACTGTATGCTAGTAATTGGTAAAGTTCCTATCGGGGAAAAAAATATAGAAGATTGTAGTGCCGATGAGCTAAAAGACTTAACAATTGTTTTTTTTTTACAATATGTCGATAGTACTACACTTTTAAATATTTGGGAAAAATTACCACTTGAACACAGGCGTGATTTTGAGTTGTAAGTAAGACTTCCCTGTTTCTTTAATCATAACAGATCTGATTGTAGAACACATGTAGATGGACCTCCCTCCTCACAAAACAAATTTTATTTTTGTATAAGAGGTCTAACCAAATAGTGGAATGTTTCATTCATCTAACAGCAATGGTTTGGCTCATTTTTAATTTTATTGCTCTCGCCGCAGTGGTTCAAAATGTCTTCTATATACATGCACCATCAGACGTACGAATTATGAAGGCTCAGCTGAAAACGGATAGCTATTTCAATGATTTATGGATTCCGCTTTACTACCGCCTTATAGATATAACGATCGTACACCTACTTTCCAGACAGTACTTCCAACATCCCAGAATAAATTCTACCAGTATAAATTTCAAGTAGAATTTCGAAATAAAAGTATTCTAGCAAGCAGGGAATGGACAAATATCGGTATTGGACCTCAGCAAGAAACCCTCGCCAAAATTGGAATCTTCTGCAGAAACCAGACTATGAACTCCACTACAACAGAAAATATTTCCGGTTCGAGACCTGATGCCTATACTTACTTAATCTATACTTAAATAATATACGCTCCGAATGGACGATAACTACGGTTCGTAGATGACACAGGGGCTGCGGTCAAATTCCGGAAAAAACCGCCAAAAATTTGGGGTTGGCCCGAGTCAAATCCCCGATATTTCAGATCAAAGGCGCCTCCTATCTAAGGATTTTCCCACGGTATCGAAAAATTTCCCAGGCTCAGGTGCCCCCGCTAGGTTGACAGATAACTTCACTTGGGTTTAGTTGAAGTAGCCCGGAGTAGGTTAAACATTGATAGATGGCGTCACTTGGGTTAGACACTTACTGACAGATGAACTTGTAGATGGTTGCACCGGTGCGCGGTGTGATGGTGAATCATAAGTTGTATTCCTGTTAAGAGTTTGAAGCACTTGAGTTACTCGCTCCGGTGTTAGTCGCCTCCGATTTTAAAGGAACAGATGCGTGGTGCAACAAACACATTTCGAAAGGGATAAGCGCGTAACGCCTCGGAGCTGTTCCGGAGCTCCTCCTAGGTGTGAAAGGAATACAACTATTGAGTGGTGAATGAACTTACTATCAACTGACAGATGGTTGCACCGGTGCGCGGTGTGATGGTGAACGACCTTACTATGTCTACTGAGCAAGCTTGGGCTAAATCATATCCCCAAACCCTGGAAAGAATTCAGAGTTGTTTTCATCCCCAAACCTGGCAAATTGGGTCAGGACAATGTAAAATCTGTGAGACCCATAAGCCTCATGTCATTTTTGTTGAAGGCTCTAGAAAAAACTGCATATGAGCTCCACCTTCGGGATAGTGCATTGGCTACCAGACCAATACATCTGGACCAATATGCTTACAAAGCAGGAACCTCAACTGAAACAGCACTACATCACCTCGTTCGGCGGGTAGAAAGTATGTTGGAAAATAAGAAAGTTATGTTGGGAGCCTTCCTTGATATAGAGGGAGTGTTTGACAACACTTCCTTCGAGGCAATCATGAGAGATCTATGTCGATGAGGTATTGATGATACATGCTGTAGATGGATAAACTGCATGCTTCGAGGTAGACTCATCCACTCCACGCTCCTGCGTAACACAGTAACGGCTCGGGTTGCAAAGAGATGTTCGCAAGGCGAAGTGTTATCACCCCTGCTGTGGAATCTGGTGATGGACGAGCTGATAGAGCTACTGAAGAGCAACAACCATCAAGTAGTAGGATATGCAGATAACTTGGTCATAATATCCTAGGGAAAATTCAACCATACAGTTAGAGATCGCATGCAGCAGGCTCTAACAATGGTCTCTAGGTGGACACAGACTGTAGGGTTGAAAATTCGTGCCATCAAATCGACAACCTTTATCAAAAGAAGACGGACCACTTTACCTTCAGGGAAACCCAGTTAAGATGTCGGACGAAGTTAAATATCTGAGGGGAAAATCAAAGACTCAAAATTAACTTGGGACAAACATCTGGATAAAGTAATTAAAAGGTCAGAACTGGTCCTTATACTGGCTAGGAGAACTTTCGGAAAAACCTGTGGGTTGCGGCCAGACATGATGCACTGGCTGTACACAACGATTGCAAATCCAACAATCACCTATGCGTCTTTGATATGGTGGACAAAGACACAACAGGACAGAGCCAGAATGAGACTTGGCAGGGTGCAAAGACTTGCCTGTCTGGGCATTACAGGGTGCAAGAAAAGCACACCAACAGTAGTTATGGAAGTCCTACTATACCTTCCTCCGCTACACATTGCGATTCAGGCGGAAGCTAAGATGGGCATCCACAGATAACGAAACAACCTGAGAAAACTAACAGTCAGATCAGGCCACACACAAATGAGGGAAGTCATAAATCTGACAGTATTCGACATGATAACTGACTATGCACTTCCCAAATACTCACCTGACGTATACTTCAAAGTCCTAATTAGTGAAAGGGGGGAATGGGAAAACCAACATGCACTTCTCAATCTCAAAAGCCAGACTTGGTATTCGGACGGATCAAAGACTGAGAGTGGCACAGGCGCAGGAATCTACAGTCAAGAAGGAAGATGCGAGACCTTCTAGGATCACATACATCTGTTTTCCAGGCAGAAGTATATGCAATGCTACAATTCGCAAGAATCAACAATATGAGGGCATGCAAAGAAAGGAGACTCACTTTCCTCACATTGATGTGTGTGCCAGAACACATAGGTAAGGCTGACGAACTTGCACGCAGGGAGTCATTCACAGAATACCTTTGTCCCGTACCAGCTCTCGAAGTACCCAAAAGCACAGTAAGAAAGGAGCTGAAGGAATGGATCAAAGCAAAACATGCTCAATACTGGAAGCAAATGCCCAAGCATGCACATGGGAAAATCTTCATACGTGAGACATGCAGCAAAAGAGCAAAAAGAATGCTACAAGTAAGCAGGAATCAACTCAGAGTATCAACCGGCTTTCTTACTGCGCATGCCCCAGTAAAGAAGCACCTACAAACAGTGGCTTTGTACAGCGGAGGCACGAGCTGCAGACTATGCGGAACAGAGACTGAAACAGCTCAACATATTATATCAGAATGCGATGCACTAACTCGCAGAAGACAAAATATATTTGGAGAAGATGAACTAGATTCAGACACATACGGCAAACAGACCTACTTCGCCTACTGCAGAAAATCAGGGTTTTGGAATGGGTGCAGTAAATAGGAAGATTCAGCACAATAAGCCTCCAGCTGCAGTGCTACTCGTTTAATTAGATGACTTTCCCATAAAAAAAAAAACTGATGCCTTAGGAACCTAGTCAAATTCAATGCTTCCAAAACTCAAGCAATAGTATTCCTAAATAAGACATTTTCCGCCGAGGATAACCCAGTCAGGATGTCTGGACAAAACATTTCTATCAATCCCTCAGTATTTCTTCCTAGGGTGACCATATTGACCATTTTGTCTTGACATGACCATGTATCTTCGATAGCCAAAACCGCTTCACAAAAATTAGGTTTTTTGTTTTGTGCAAAAAAATGCTTTACAAGGCTCTAATCACAACACGTCCTTCTTCTTATAATAATAATAATAAAATGTTCATTTTCAACCAAGTATATTTTGAATGATGAGGCACGAAGCTTAAGAATCGTACAGCGGAGTTAATTTCTTCTATGGTATTAATAAAGTACCTATACTTATAAAATTCTCTATTGTTACAGCTTCTGGTGTACAAATTACAACCTCCAACTCAACGAAACTACAACCTTCAGACCCAGTGGTAGGAGAAGAAAAGCTGCCAGCTCCGCCGCCACCTGAACGACCAAAAACCGAACCGACAGTATCCGAAAAAATCAAGGAAATTACGCAATGCTTGGATAAACCGTTTGTGCCAAAAACGCAACAACGTGGTGACTATTGGGTGTTATACAATTATATTCGCGCTGAAAGGACGTTCAAGTGCGAGGAGACGGTGACTTACACCACTCACGCGGATTATTCCTTCATGGACAATTTAGTGCCATTACTGGAACGATGGAGGGCTCCTATAAGTATAGCCCTTCACGCTCCGGGGACTGATTTTGCTTACACTTTGGAGTCTATAGCTCATTTGAGGGACTGTACTAGTTCTTTGGTGCGCGAATTGGTTACGTTTCATATTTATTTCAGTACTAAACATGTTCCCAAAGAGGTAAGAATTTTATTATGTATACTTATTTTTTCGACATCAAATAGATTGGATAAATACTGCACGTTCTATATGTATAATGATGGAAATTTTGTTAATTTTGAGAACATATGTATAATTGAATGACTAGATTCAGTTTAATGAGGATTTAGATGGTTTGCATACCATATTTCATACTAGTCTTGATGACATACTGATCCTCTGGACGGGTTTTGAAAATGGCCTTGAATTCTGAACTAAAGAATATTCCTTGAATATCTTTCTTACATTGAATATTCCGCGAATTTGTTATCGTATACCAACACCTACAGGAATCACAATATTTCGTTACATATGCAGGATCCTAGTTCACAGTTTCATTCCAAAGTTTCTATGCATCTATTGTTTTCTGTAAAATAGGGATAGCGATAAACTATTGATGCATATTTATATGATAAACTGACCAGTAGCACATGTTCCTTCTCACCCTCGACTAGTATTAACACATATTTATTTCCAGCTTGCGGAAATATCCAACCCCTTGATAAACCGGTAAAAGTATTCCACATGGCGGGGCATTATATGAAAGTATAAAATATGGATTATTCCATTTTAAGCCTCAGGATTTAGTTTTCTGTTTCAAGTAATGTGTTTGTGCTTAAAAGCTTTACCATACAAGACACGCGTCCTTTATCTTGCTTTTCTTTGCTCACTTCCTTTCATAATAATATAGGGATGATCCCAGGGCCATTTCTTTTCTCGAGAATAGCAGTAACGGATTATTCAAATTTTTGTTTACCCGATGCCAGTCACTTGAAGTTGGAATAATAAATTAACAGCAAAATATAAATGCGCATATTTCTCGAGGCAATATGATGTCAAACCGGCTTCAATGACGAAGTTTTATTAAAATCAGGAAATAAGTATTGAAAAATAACCAGGATGTCATTGAAAATGTGTCTTCCAAAAACCGTCCCTTTTTTTTAGGAATTATTTACATTAGAATCCCCAGACAATTTTTCATTTTAAAAGTTGTATGGATCTCCACCAGAAGAAAACTGGTAATTTTCAAGAGATTCGTTCATAAATTGCATTCAGCTTTCCAATTTCTGTTTGTCATTTTAAGAGGGGAGCTTTTCACTGGATCGTGTAATTTAATTTCATCGGAACGATTTTGCCGTTTCATTCCGGAGCTGTGCTGAACGAATTTAATTACTGCAGACTGGCTAGCCTATTCTATTTTTCTAATCATTCGGAAGAAGAAATCGGAAACGAAAATATGAGAAATCTATATTGGAATGCATATTGCACAGAGCTCTATGTTCAAATTAATTTCGTTTCTTTTTTCCAGTAAGTTTTTTTTCTCAAGTAGATTAATTTAAGTAGCTAGGTACCTATATAAAATTATAGACTTGGAGAATATTCATTTTGAAATTGAGACGATCATTCATTAAATTTTAAAGCTCCTTTAGATGGTGGAAGCTATTAAGGTTCTAAATTAAGCGATTGGAACATTCGGGATGTTAACTTCATGGGTTTCAAGTCCTGTCATCAGTATAATTTTTCACGCCATGTTGCGATTTATTCCACTCCTTCCTGAAGTTTCTGGATAATTTATTCCAAGGTTTCTACCCTGACCAAGTATGGTTGAATTATCATCGTACATTCATTTTCTTGGTCTTCGGGATGTCATGGATTTAGTTGGAGGTCAAAGTATCAATTATTGAAGCACTTCCGGCTGAAATTAAGCTGCAAGGGTTCCTTGGCCAGGGTAACAACGGCAAAGGCCTGGGAACCAATGACGGAGGTGGCAACCAGGTCTTTATAGCGGGTCAAATATGAAGGAAGAGGGAAAACAGATCGATCAAAGTCCTAGAAAAGGCAACCGATCGAAAAGAGGAACACTTCGAAATCAAAACTCAGGATGGGGGTTGGTTGAATAATAGACAAAAATGACTTAAGCCAAGGGAATGGACAATGTGGTGGCCGAGGAGAAAATAATCAGGAACAAAACGACAATACCAGAAAGCGGATCCTATAAAACGACGGAGATCATTACTATTATTATTATGAGGCGAAGGAAGATTGCCAATGACTTCTACTTTTTCCGGATCAGGACGAAGACCTTCACTGTCAACCAAATATTTTAATTCTGGTTTGCAAAAATTATATTTTTCGATGACCCAGCCTCGCGCAATCTATCAAAGATAATCCCTAACAGATTTAGATGATCAGAAAAGGAGTTAGATAAGATGACGATATTGTCAACTAGCTTCTTAGGAAAGGAGGACCCGGTATTCAACCTTATAAATTTAATTGCCGATTCGATCGGATGTTTATTGCAATAAACGGATATAAGTTGCGCTGCAAGCCGCAGCAAAGGCAGACTTAAACCAGTGGAACTACCTCTCGTTGGGAAAGCCCCTCTGGAATTAAGTCTCCCCAGTGCAAGACCTCTCGTTGGGAAAGCCCCTCTGGGTATCTTCAGCCTTATCGTTGTCCAGTGCAATTCCTCTCGTTGGGAAAGCCCCTCTGGACAAGGCATAAGGGTAACGATAATCGACAAACCCCCAAGCAGCGTTGACGTGTGGCTCCCTATAAGGGCCCCAGTGTTCGAAGGGTCATGCATCTTATAGGACTAGCGTACATGTAAGGGCATATTTGGGAAAATATATATTTACACTTTTATATAACTTGAGCGAGTTTCTCTCCATCGACCCCCAAAGCTACAAACCCCCCATAAAGCGGGCAGTTGTGACATATTTGGTGCTCAAGTTTTCTTCGAATGTTTGTGAGAATATAATGATGTCGTCTAGGGAGATTAAGCACTTCCTTCCATTTCATATCCCAAAAAACTTGGTCTGCTAGTTCTTGGAAAGTGGCTGGAGCGTTGCATAATCGAAAACTTAAAACATTCGATTCGTAAGTCCCATGTCCTTGCGCCACGAAGGCAGTGTATTGCTTGGACTTCTCTTCGGCTGGAATTTACCAATATCCGGAAAACATATCGAGTGTGCTGAACCATTTTGCATTGCCCAAGTATGACAAAATGCCATCGATCTGCGGTTGTGGGTATGTTGATTTTTTTGTTACTGTGTTAACCTTTCTGTAATCTACACAAAATCTTGTTTTTCCATCTTTTTTCTTAACTAGCACTACAGGGCTAGCCCATGTAGAGTGGCAACTGAATTACTTCGCTATCGAGCATTTCCTGGATTTGTTCGTCAATAATCTTTTTTCTTTTTGTCACACTCTGTATGGGCGGCTCTTTATTGGGCGAGCCTCTCCGACGTCTATTATGTGTTCTGTTAGGTTTATCTTTCCCGTATGTTTTGTAGATTTCGCGAAAACGTCGTTGTATTCCAGGAAGAGTTCTTTGAGTTCAGGCCTGTTCTTCTCGTTTGTGATGCTGTCTAACTTATGATCTTCCATTGTTATTTCTTCGCTCTCTTCATTTTTTCCTGCTTGCAACATGAAATTGTGTGAAAGATTTGTCTCTGATGCTGTTTCTGCCAAAAATGCCATTGTGGTTCCGGCGTATATAGCTACTAGCTTCCTTGTGTTTGATTGTACTTTTGAAATGAGGCTACCTTCATTGGTGTGAATATGCGTATTTAGTTCAAGATGATTTTTTGCTAACCAGTCTAAATTATATTTGCATGTATACATAGTAGGTATTACCTTTAATCTCACTAGGTTTGCCCATAATATCTAATTCCATTGTTTTTAACTCATTCTGAGACACCGTATAATCTTTTTTTGTACCAAATTTATATGTCTTTTTCTTAGTTTCTGTACCGATTTGCTTCAGATGCCTGATTTCTTCTTCTTGCTTTTTTTCTTTAACTTCATACCCAGATTTTTTCCTATAAATGTGAATTTGGACCCCTGCATCTTCAAATAGAAAATATATCATCTGTTCAAATCTAGCCCATTCTTTTTCTAGTCCCCATCCTTGTCTTGAGATGACTAAATTTTTTGATGGATTTATTTTTTGAGATATTGTTACTCAGTGCTGTTAGACATTTATACATGTTTCTTGGACTTGGCTTCAAATTCATTGATTCTCTTGTGAATAGAAAAATTACTGATTTTTTTCCTTGATTTGACATGATAGCTAACCCAATGGTCCCTTTCTCTTTGTTTTTTTGGAATCATATGCCTATATTTTCTGAAAACTGATTTTTTTGATTTGTAGTTTTGAGTAAGTCCTACTTCTAAAACGGTGTCGTTCGTTAGGACGTCTATGTTTCCATATTCTTCTTTCAGGAGACCGTTAACCTGGTCATCTTTTATATGAATGTGCTCTCTTACAAACTTGTTAAACTCTTGTTCATCTCTTGAAGTATCTAGTCTATGCTCTCTCGTTTCAGTCGGCTGTTTTGTTGTGACCAGACCTGACATGTTGATTTTTTCGTTATTGATTTGTCTTAGGAATATTTCATGCTGACCATTCAGAATCAGTTTTTTCCGTGGGAGATCTATGATCGCGTTATTTTTTGTCAAAAACTCCATGCCTAGGAATATTGGTTGAGTTAATGAAAAAATCACTTTGGCGTTTAGTCTGCCCGTCCATTTTTGACTCTCTGGTATTTCTATTGGAACTTCAATGTCTCTCAAAACTTTTATCTGGTGTCCCCCTGCAGTGACTAGAACCGTGTCATCATTTCTTGTTAGTTTCTCTTTGATTAGACTTCTTTGTAGTCTGCTGACATGTGCTTATTATTTAATTTAATTGTGATGTGCAAGATTCCTATGTTATTGTTCTTCCCCAGGGTAAGGATGGCAGGGGCTTTTAATTTTGCCATCCCTTCTCGTTTGGGTTTTGTCGTCGGGTTGTACAGGTGTTTGCATAGTGACCCTGTTTTCCACAAACAAAGCAACCAGGATTGTTTCTGTTGTTTCGTGGCGTATAAGATTTGTTCCTTTGAGGCTGGTTTCCGCATACTGTTGCAGTATGTCCTGTTTTTCCACAGTTGTAACAAACGGTGGCAATTTTTGAGTTGGAGTTATGATTTGTCATC